CATTATACTCAACAAATTTCGGACACTTATATAGACTTATTTTGTACATAAAATATTTTTTTAATAAGGGTATTTTTTGTCGTTAGGAAGGGTGTGACGTCATTCACATAGGGTGTGACATCACCCAATGTGACACACTAGTAGTATTTAATGCTTTATGTGGGTGATGTCACACCCTCCTAATGACCAAATATACCATTACTAAACATAAGCTCCATGTACAAAATAATAGTATATAAGTGTCTAAATTTGTTGAGTAGAATGATAAATTACTCCATAGTATTAGGGTGCTCACACTATAGAATAATTTATGATTGTAGTCAATGAAATTTGAATAGTTATATACACTTGTTTTGTACGTTAAGCATTTTTTAGTAAGGATAGTTTTTGTTATTAAGATGCGTGTGACATCATCTACATAAGGTGTGATATCACCTATATGAAATATTAAATGACACTGGTGTGCTCCATATGGGTGCCCCTTGTAATGATAAAAAATACCTTTATTAAAAAATGTTTCGTATAACAAAAAAATTATTATTTTCAAAGGGGGGAGAGCCAGAGAGAGGGCGCTCAAAGCCTATAAAAATATTGCTTCAATTAATGAAATTCCTATTATACATCTAAGGAAAACCTTATGGAAACCTTCAACGAAATCATGGATCAAAACTAAGAAATTATAATCTCTGAGTTTGAAGTTTAAAAAACTACCAAACTTTAGACTCTCTATTCGTTTGAACATGGTTTTCGATAAAAAAAAGTACTATAGAATGGAGAGAGCTCTCAAAGTTAAGATTTTTTTTAAAAAAAAAAAATCATCAATTTCCATTTTGAAACGAGGGAGAAATGCAAGGAATCACATATCAGGCTTTTTCCCTCAATAGTCCAAAAAAAGGAACTAACGTAGTTTTCCCCAGAATTTTATTCTCTAACAGAATCGGTGATGCCCGCTTTTTTATCAGTGGATTGTCCGGTCCTCTAATGAAACCAATCAGTTATAATGCTGTAAAGAAATCGACCCAATTGTATAATTGAATTAGTCCAGTTAGTTACATTTCGATTAGGGTCGGTCAACATTTAGCGTGATGCTAGTAAAAAACAGTTGATGTAATTCCCCAAATTCAGGATCTAAACAATTATCATAAGTAGGTTTTTGCCGGAGCCTCTTGAGGATGGCATTTATTTTAATGAACTATAAAAGAGCAAAAAGATAATATCGACCCCAATTACTTAGAAAAAAACTATAATGATAATGCCGATAAAAGAGTGAAAATGAAAAACCAAATCAGTCTAACATTTCGCGTAAGAGAATCGTCAAAACTCAAAAATAATATAAAAAAACAAAAATACAGAAAGCACCAAGCCCCCCCCCCCCTCCAAAGTCCATCACCACATTCTGTGAAAAATGAACATATCAACAGCATTGTGTTGTGGTCATCTCCAAACAAATTTGACCCCTTTCAAGATGGGAAAAGAAGACTCACTCACTCACTTCATGCTTATCCGGAAATTTTTATTTCCGGCAACTTAACTTGTTGAAATCCGGCTCCTCTTCAGTGGATCCCCCCTCATCTTCGTTTTCTTCCTTCTTTTTCCGGCAATAAATCACCCAACTATTGATCTCCAAAGCAGCACAAATTCCAACCAAACTTGAAAACACTAAGCAATAAACCAATTTTGCCTTAGAATCAGGGGAGAGACCCAACAAATCAAAACCTTGAAAAACATTGACCACACTTATTGTAACACAGGCATATCCCACAAAGTGGTGGTAAGATTTCCAATATTTTCTATACTTGTTGGTCTTTTTTGGCCTGAAAAATAATGCCACACTTTGCAAAGTGCCTAGAGATACAATGGCAAAGCCTAATTTCCTGTGGGTTCCCGAAATGCCCCCGGAATCCGACACACTCGCAAGCTTGAGACCCATGGCGAAGCCACTAATCCCAAGGCCATATCCGGTAACTTGCACACCCACATGCATGTAAAACCAAGATGGGTCTAGAGGGAGAAAGTGCTTGAGGTATCTTGCCGTGATTACCCCTAACAAAAGCAGAAACCCCCAGGAGAAGGAGTTGATTATGGCATGGGACGTCTTGAGGGCATAATAGTCATTTGGGCTTGCCAAACCTGAGAGCATCTCTACAGTTTTGGTGGACTTTAGATCTTCTTGAGAGAGGCCATGAATGGTGGGGGAGTAGCCTTGGACATAAATGCCCCTGTTCCAAACATGGTTGAGAGAGGTTTTGTTGGGATGGAGTTTGTAGAGGGAGAAAATCTTGACTGAGTTGCCTCTGAGGATGAGAGAGGATGTGATAATGGGTATGTCTAAAGAGCGAGAAAGCACTGGGTTTTGTTGGAGTTTAACAGATGGATCCAGAACAAAGGGGAGGAGAATTGGTTGCCCTGTGTTGGGATCTTTCATGGCTATCAAAACTTGAGAATTTGTCATTTGATTTGGGGATTTGGGGTTGATTCCCCACCCAACCCAACCAGAGGGAGAAGGAAGACTGCCTGAGAAAACCATGTCTATGGTGCAGTTGCGAGGGTAGAGAGTCCAAGCCAATGAAGCCTCTTGGGTCTGCAAATCCATGCATTTTTGATACATTTTGAACCCACCATCTGAGGTTTGGTGCCTCAAATTACATCCTAGAGCCATTGTGAAAAGGAAGAAGATGGGTGTGAGGAATGGCAATGTGAAAAAGAGATTCATTTTGGTAATGTGGAGAGAGAGAGAGAGAGATATAGAGACTCAATCTATTGATTGGATCATGAATTTGGTGGAGAATTGGCCAAAAGCTTAAGAAATGGCAATGTCAATCCTTGATTATTGAATTAATTTGAGTGTCCATCAGGTAAGTGTTTGGGGGCTTTATTGTGCAGGCCTTTTGAGATGTGTCCATCAGGTAAAGTGTTGGGGCCTTCATAGCGAGAGCACTTTCAGGCCTCTGTGAGTGAAAGAGAGAGAGAGATGTGTGTTAGAAGAAAGGGTAATTTGAATTTGTGGTGCTGATTTTGTAAATGGGGTTGGATTCATGCTTTGCTTTGAAGGAATGAGAGAGAATAATTATAGTGTGGAGAGTGGAGGAACTCATTGGGTGGTGAAAGTGGGTTTTAGAGAGGCTTATTTGTGGGCAAAAGAGAGAGTAGGTGGAGAGGGAATGATGAAGAATCAAATTTGAAGTGGGGCTGGGCTCATGGAGAGAGAATGGTGAGAAGTCGTTGTCTCTTGGTAACTAATAATACCAACCAATTCTCCATTCTTCTTCTCAAATAGGGTTTCTCTCCCACTTGTTACCTAAGAGAGATCAAGTCCTTTCATCAGGCTTGAGCTTGAGCAGCTGGGAGCTTACCTTCCATTAATAAGAATAATAAATGACAAGAAGTAGAAAGAGGGATTTACATAATGACTCTATTTTTTTTCTTTTAAATATGAAATGCTCTGTTTATATCAGGGGTTTACCCCCGAAATGCTCGCCGACCCGTGCCGATTCCTATGAAATACCGAAAATCAGACAAATCGAGAGCTGACGGTGCACGTCTGATGATAGTAATTAAATTATATGATAAGAAAAGTTAAAAAAATATTTAAAATAATTATTGGGTGCTCCCCACCCCTATCTTTCACCGAAAAAATTTAAATTTATCTACCCAAATAAAACATAAAAATTCTATTAGGCTATTATCTCACGATATTATTTCATTAGATGATTAATAATTAAATAAATATTTTATTGAGATTAAAAATTAGTACTAGCTCATAGGATATTAAAAAACAAAAAATAATATTAATTCTAGTTTATTGAATATTAAAAAATATTAGCTTAGAGGATATTTTAAGAGATAAATATAACACTAACTCATATCACTTTAAAATTTATTTCTACATTGATAACCAAATCTTTTATTTTATTTATTTTAATTTATTTGCATTATAAATTATGTGATGTACTATTTTTTCTTATAATTCTCAATAATACATTTTAAATTAGATGATATTATAAGATATTTTGAATTTGTTATTATTTGTATAATAAAATAACTATAAAATGTAAACCAACAATTTCAATTTCACTATATAATATTATATTTAGTTAGGTTGCAATAATTTTGTATTATAATTAGTTAGGTTGTAATAATTTGGGGTTTTTTAGCGGATTCGGGTTCTCCTCCAATTCAAGAATTTGGTGGCCATTTTTTCATCGATTTAATCCATTCTTTATTGCAGCCCATGTATGATTATATACTTCATCCATGATAATTTTATGATTTTTCTTTTGTATGATATAAATTTAATGGTTAACAAAAGTTCATACAGGGAAAGAACATCTCAATATTCGCATATTGATGAAAAAAATGAAAGTTAACAATGTAATACCTCCATTTCTTATTGGATTCCTAAAAAACACCCTTTATAATGAATTTTAATAATTTTTTGGATTTTTTTAAGGCTTAATCTGACCGATTCGGTCGATTCTCGATTTGAATCACAGATTTTTGGGGTGCTCGATCCGGGGCACTGATCAGTTTTTTAAACCACTGGTTTATATTATGTAGAAATTACAAAAGTCAGTCAGGCATCTTTTTTCCAAAGTTACCTCCTCTTGATCTAAAGATGGAATACTCGGTTCAAATTTTAAATTATTTCTTTTTAGTTTTTTTTTGTTAGTATGACTGTGTCCCAAGGTTTAGGACATTGCCCTACTAATGAAAAAACAAAAAGCAAAAAACAAAAAAATTACAATTAAAATTCGGTTTAAGGATGTCCTCGGACTGAGGGGTAATTTAGGAAAAAAGAAAAGAAAAGAGAGAGTTAACTAACCTTCTTTGTAATTTTCACCTATAAATGGAGCATTTAATATTTTATGAAAAAAATTAAACAACCATACCTAAATCACTTCAAAAAAAAAAAAAAATTCATCAATGAATGCTCAAACCATTGCTATTCTTAGATTGTAAGAAGTCCCAAAAATAAGAGAGCAAAAACCAACTATAAAGCGAAATTCTATTGAAAACAGTAAGAAAAAACTTTACAGGCCACGAGGGGGCAATGCTCCTAGATAACAATCCAAATTCTCAAGCTTATTTGATTCCTTACATTACTCTCACTTATATAAACTTCCATAGTCATCCTACATTTACTCCTAGTCAAGAAAGTCCCAAATTAGTAACCACTAACTCAAAAACTCCAACCTATTATTGAATTTCAACATTCAAATTAAACTCTCCTAACATTTATTGAGTTTTAACCATTGGTCAAGAAATCTCCTAAGAACTCCTAATTTATTAAACTCCAAGAGGTCAATTGCATGGATACTTTGTTTTGGCCACATATAGTGGAATGGTACTTTAATGATATGATGATGAGATGCTTGAGAGTTTCAACTTCACGTTTACGAATCCACGAAGAAAAACATTTTATAATCAAGAAAACCAAATATCTCACGGGTGAGTTCCCATCTACTTTCTCTTGTAACTCTCTCCTTTTCCTCTCTATCAATGGTTGAATAAACCTATTTACTTTTTTGGCTCTGCGGAAATTTCAATCCTAGATTTGATTTAAATTCGATAGATGAATCTATTGGGAGATACAAATCTTGATTACTGTGTAATTGTTGTTTGCAGGGCGTATGGATTGAATCCAAGCTTTGCAAGTCCATGTTTTGCTTACCTGATTGTAAAACCTAGATTTTTCCATTTTCATTATATTTTCAAGTTATAAAATGCTTATTATTTATCTTTTCTTCTTTCTTTCTTTTTGGCTTTAGATTTATTTATTTCCTTACAATTCTCCTTACAATTGTAAGGGTAGAAATTTTAGAGCGATTTACATAAATATCTCATATATATTTTAAATTAAAAAAATCTTCAATATTGTATTATGCTCACATCCTACTTTCTAAGAACATATTTAATATTTTAATTTTATCTTTTTTACTTATTTCAGATTGAGCTCATATATTTGTTGGAGATTCGAATACCCGAAACACCAATTTACCGATCACCAAATATCACACACTCAATACCGAAAATGTAAAATCGATGATCCAATAATAAGTTTAAGGACAGTGTGCAACAACTTAAAAAAATAAATTAGAGATGAAAAACATAATCATGAGAGAAAATTAGATAGATAAACCACAACACGAATTTAATGTGGTTCACTCCGTAGGGCGACGTCCACGGGCAAGCCAGCAAGTATTCTATTATCAAAAGAGAAATTTACATGGGGATACAATGTTACTTCAAATGAGAAAAATGGTGAAAAACATCAGCAAGAATACCTTCTTGTGATCACCCAAAAAACCACGATTTACTCCACTTCACTTATCCAAGAACATGAGCAAGCTCACACAATTTTTCCCAAAGATTGGACAAGAAATCTTTCTTTACCTCATTCCCTTTCTCAACATAATTCAAGGAAGCCCTAGCCCCTTTTCTAGAGAGAAAGAAGAGTAAACCCAATGAAGAATCGTGTCTAAAAACAACCCCTTTATTTAGCTTTTACAAAAGCCACCTAATTGTAGCGACAAAAAGGATCCCCAACCAAATAATAGAAGACAAAAGCGTCTAAAATGTGATTTTTCTATCAACATTCAACAATCTCCACCTTGATAATAAATTACCTACTTCTCTTGCCGAGAATCTCATTTTTACTTCTTCACGAAACCTATAGAAGTTAGGCTTCATTCTAACTCAATGGTTTAAAAAACGGATCGGTGACCCGGATCAAGCACCTCAAAAACCGATCCAGTTCGGCGAATTGGCGATCCGGATCGGGAATTGGCTGAATCGGTCGGATTAAAGCTTCAAAAAAATCCGAAAAAATTATTAAAATTCATTATAAATGTTGTTTTTTAGGAATCCAATAAAAAATGAGGGTACTACATTATTAACTTTCATTTTTTTTATCAATTTGTGAATATTGCGATGTTCTTTCCCTGTATAAACTTATTTTAACTACTAAATTTGCATCACATAAAAGAAAAATCATAGAATTATCATGGGTAAAATATATAATTATATATGGACTATTATAAAGAGTAGACTAATCAATGAAAGAATGGCCATTAAAATCTCGTTTTGACGAAAACCCTAACCCGCTAAAAAAACCCAAACTATTACAGCCTAACTAACTATAATCCAAAATTATTACAACCTCACTAATTATAATATTATATACTAAAATTATAATTATTAGTTTACATTTTATAATTATTTTATTAGACAAATAATAACAAATTAAAAATATTTTATAATATTATCTAATTTAAAATGTATTATTGACAACTGTAAGAAAAATAGTACATTACATGATTTATAATGTAAAAATTCATAAATAAAATAAAAGACTTGGCTATCAATGTAAAAATTAATAAAATGCGTACAAATTTTAGAAATAACACTTCAATTTTTCAAAAATTTATTTTTTTAGGTTTCTATAATAAATTTAGTAAAAGAGATTGTTAGTAGAAAGATGGAGATTTCAAATAGAATAAACTTTTTATTTTTATTTTTTTTTTACCTTTCATATTATTTACAAAAATAATTATACCAGTATATACAACAAAAATTAACTGTTATATAAAAAATTGATTTTTTTATTTTTCATTTTTTTATATCTTTTATATTATTTACAAAAATATTTATATTTATACCAACCACTATATACACAACAAAAATATTTATATTTATACCACTATATATACAACAAAAATGCAACACATGCCCAAGGGGATTCGAAAACAACAAAAATATTTATACCAACCACTATTATACACAACAAAAATGCAACACATGCCAAAGGGGGGGCCCAAGGGGAGTGCCCAAGGCGATTCGACCTTGGGACCTCAAGTAAAAAAATTAAAGTCATAACCATCAAGCCATCTAACTACATATGATTATAAATTGCTGATTAATAGACTATATTTACATTTCGTTTTCATTTAATGATGTTTGGGAATTATTCCACATCAAAAGATGGGTATTCAACATTGGTATATAAATACCTATGCAATATGAATAATATAATGTGTGTAAAAATATTAGGGCAACCTCACACGTGTGCACGTGTGAGTG